GTCAATGTTTACGTTCTCAAGATTTGTCGTGAGAAAATATGAACAAAGACTGATTCAAAACCGACCACAGCAGACTTTGCGTAGGCGGATACAGTTAACATATAGATGATCTGTTGCCTGGCCCTTGTCTTCTGTTGTTACAGTATTAGATGGTTGGAGGCAATCGGCCTTGCTCGACCTAGGTTTCGTGCTAGTTGGCACTCACCATCAGTCAGCAAGGCGTATCTGCAATCATCTTGAAGGAACTCATCTCCCTGCTGAGATTCGAACCTGCATCACCCAGTGCTGCAGTTAAAGACGTTACCAGTGAGCTATTCGGGCTCGCTATTGATCTCCTGTAGGACTGTATTGGATAATTTTCATTGGATACTAGTTAATAATTACTATAATGTGCTAACTAGCACGAAACCTAGGTCGAGTAAGGCTTCCTTTGGCCGATTGCCTCCAACCGTCTAATATCAATTATTCAGAATGCACCGTGATGGCGGCCACATTGCCAACGTGACTGATAGAATTCAGTCTGTACCAGACAAAGGAGTAGATGCATCACACTAGTTGCTAACTAGTGTCCAATTAAGAGTTTGCTTACGTCTTGTGCATACATAGCTGAAGATGTTGCAATAACATTGACTAAACGGGAACGTTGTATTCACAAAAAAACACGTCCAGGTTCTATTCCTACTGTGGCCGACCTGCGATGAAAATGGCTTGTTCTTCCTCCCAAGAGTGTATGTTCTCCTTGTATCTTTTTGATGTTTGTTTTTCTATAGTTTGATTTGTAAGGGTTAGTTTTGTTTTTACGAGTTGATCACGAATTGATATCAGTTAGAGAACCATTGAAAACAAGCAGGGAGTACTGGACAGCTGCTGTTTCATCCTAGTTTTGGGAATCATCGGCAGTTCGCACTCACTGGGGTTCGAACCCAGGACCTTCCGGTTACAACGCAAGCTGGCTCGTATACCATTCAGCCACTGGGACCCGAGCTTGCCTTGCAACCGGAAGGTCCTGGGTTTGAACCCCTGTGGTGGATGCTTACTGCCGATAATTCGCAAACTAGGATGAAACATCTTTGCTTATTATTATTCGCTATAATTTATACCCTTCATTCTAGCATTCTCTCAATAGAACATGCCTCCACTTACTTCATTTCAAATAATACTTATTTCATGATGAATTTTTCACTGCAGTCGTACCATATCTCCTCTAAAATGCTTTCTGTTTTGTACTAGCCACTCACCTGACACCTTTTGTATAACCTTGAACTGACTTGTCAATTTTTCCTACCCCGCCCCCACATTGTATGAATCTATCATGTCTCATTTCACAATATTGTGTAATTGAATTTAGCCCAGCAAGTGTGTCACTCATAAATACTATTTAATTGGCTTGATCACACTTTAACTACATCAATCTGTTATTCCACCCGCATAGTTAACTGGCCATTACTACTGTAACGATAAGAAATATTAAATTTTACAATGGTAAGGACCTAATGAGAAATTTGAAGAGAGAGAGAATGAACATGTTTGCAGGATAATACGAGCTCGTTTTATTTCGTGGATTCTCACCAACTGCATACATCCTAAACAAAATCAAATTATAAGTTTATAAAGGTTTGGAACATACTTTTTCATAATTACTTTGAGATATAGATAGAAGGCATAAGGAACATAATTCCAGAATTTGATGTAGGTAGACAGGTTATTCGGTGTCAAAAAACAACTAATTATATATAGTGGAATTAGATAAGAGGGGTAAGAGTTCAGATTTCTATTGGAAAACAACACAGATTGGTTAGAGGCATATTACAATGTCAGGGTCAAAGAACAGAGTAAATTTACACATCTTGTGGTGGAGAGTTTAAGAGGGTGGGGGTGAATAGTGAAGTAACATTTATAACTTAAACAGACAAACAATTAAGTAGATTTAGAAACTTGAAGGTCAAAATTGAATAGAATGTTTTGTAACAAAACAAACACACAGGCATACTGACAAAAAGGCAAAACAAAAATAAAATAGAGTTAGGGTTACCAAGGTAGTGAAAGATTAATCACACTATCTTTCTGTATACAAAGGTCTGGTCGAAATCTCTTGATAGCAATGGCTTCTGCGAAGCGAAGTAGTCGTGGGTATTGATTATTTTGAAGGCTTGGCTAATTTCTACTGTGTGTCCTGTGTCAATTAAATGTCTGGCGATTGCACTTGATAACACTTTTCTTCCTTTTGTACGGAGACTCTTAGGAATGTGCTCAGAAAATTTAGTAGATGCTGTCCTCTCAGTCCTTCCTATGTACTTGCTTCCGCAGGTGCACATGAATTGGTAAATGCAGTTGGAGTTGACGTGAGTAGGGTACTCATCTACTTTTGACTGGGTTAACGAGCACACAGTATTGTGAAGTAGGATCAGTCTGGCGGCTGGAAACGTTCTTTTTAATGCACCTGTGATTCTTTTTTGTGTTCTTGTGGACACGTCTTCCCCTTTGTACGCTAGACAGATGAAAACTGGTTTCTTTTCAACGGTGTCGGGTTTCGGTTTGTGTACTTTTTCATTTCTATACTTTAATATGAACTTTCGAGGATATCCATTCTCGATAAGGTTCCTTTCGATGACCGCAAGTTCTTCTTCAATCTTGTCTTCCGAACGTATTTCTTTGACTCTGCTGAAGAGCGTTTTTACTAGACATCGTTTGTAACTGGTTAAGCAAAAGCTATGATAATGTAGGTATTGACCAGTCCAAGTTTCTTTCCTGTAGACAGATTTTTGAATTGTCCCATCGTTTCTTCTTTTTATGTTGACATCTAGGAAATGGAACTGGTTGTTTCTTTCGTAGTCAATTGTGAATGCGATGTTGGGATGGGTCGCATTGAGTTTTTCAAACATTGTGGACGCGTGTTCTATATCATTGCAGACCACAAACGTGTCGTCGACATATCTGCAGTAATAGGTGGTTCTTTCTATTTCTTCTTTCATTTGAGTCTGTTCAAGATGAGCCATGAATATGTCAGCAAGAACAGGACCCAGAGGTGAACCCATAGCCAACCCGTCAATCTGCCGGTACAGCTGATTGTTGAATCGGGATTGAATATTCTTTGTACATAGAAATAATAATTTGCGTAGCTCATTTTCTGGAAGAGGGAGCAGTTCGGACTGCTGGCATATGATTTTTACCGTTTCTTCGATGGGTATGCTGGTAAACAGTGAACAAACGTCGTATGACACAAGAAGTCTATCTGAAATATCGAGTGGATCTAGTTCTTGTGAAAACTGGAAGGAATCTTTGATACTGTGAGCTGCCGGTTTTTTCGGATGGGTTCCAGCTTTTGGGCCAACCATCTGACCAGTTTATGGCATGGTGATTTCACCATTGATATTATAGGTCTCAATGGTACATCACTTTTGTAGACTTTGGGTTGACTGTACATGAATGGTACACGCTAACTCCTTGGTTTAAGGTCGTTGGAAGTGCTGTTGTCTATTAACTCTTCTTTAAGTAGTCCTTTAAGGTGCTTGTTTACTTTATTTTCGAAGGCCGTTGTTGCTTTTTTCGACATATTGACTTGGAATCTCATTGTATCATCGAGACTGGTTTTCATTTTAGAGATGTAGTCTCGGTGGTTCATTATTATGACACCTGAACCTTTGTCTGGTTTGAGAATGATGACGTTTTCATTTTTTCGTAGGTTTTTATTGCTGTTCTGTGTTCTTCAATAAGTAATTTTGAGTGTGCTGGAGGAGAAATCTGATATTGTTCTGCAATATCGATCATTTTGGACTCAAACCAGACTCTTTCACCCTCGTCTATGGGTTTAAGGTCGGAAATTAGTGAAAACAATGGTTGGTCATTAGTGTGTGATCTGTGTCATGTCTGTGTGCTCCTCTTGATGTTATTACATATATGCACATATATACCTGCATTGCCTAGTGAGTGAGTGATGATTTTCCCACTGGGGCTCAAACCTAGTGCACCGATCGTTTCAAACGCCAAAGCGTTATCCACTAGACCACTTGGGTTGGGCCACAAGAGCCACTAAAGGGCGGGTGTACTGCTCATCAATCCGCTCCGTCCTCCTTTATGGCTAGCTGTGAGACCTGGCCATTAAGAGTGGAAGACATGAACAGATCAGTGAGTTGTCTTTGATCACAGGTGCCTGCGCTCTATCTCCCGTGTAGAGTGGTATAATAAGGTGAGCAATATCGAGGTTAGGCGTCGAGTGCTAGGTAAGTAGGGGAAATAAATCGACGAGGCTGTGAAATTACATCGACTGAGATGGTTAAGACATGTGTTATGTATGCCTAGTCATCTCCTTCCTCGACTGGCAATGTTAGCTGATATTAGGTCAGGCTGGAAAAGAGCTAGCGGCAGTCAAACGAAAACATGGCAGCACCAGTCAATGAAATCCACAACAGTTAGTTAAAGCCAGTCACGTAGGAAGGTGTAGACCGACTTCCTGGTTGATTATGGTCCTCGAGATGGTAAAAACCAACGTAGGCTGGAAACAATTGGTGATATGGCTCAAAATCGTTTTCAATAGCGCGGATGCATCCACTTCTTCTCACTTATGATTTCAAATGAAACTATATCGTTCTTCGTTATTACTATTCCTTTGTCTCACACCTCTGTTTACTGTCTATATTATGCATTTCTCCTACTTTCATCTCTTGCTTTGTGTGCTACAAGGAGGGAGTGTAGCGACTTGAAATGTTGCACATCGGTGCAAAGTTCAATGTCGAAAACAGACAGACAGACGAGAGCCACTTCTCTCTTATGCAACAAATGGGTATCAGTGTAATGATATAATTCAATTTGGACTTTCTCGTTGATTGATTGGACCGAAGTGTTGTTGTAATCTGTCTCAGGTTGACATGTTGGCAGCGCCTTGTGCGCATATGCTTCGAGTCCCACTGCTAGTCACCCACCATTCACTAATTTACTTAAATTAAATAATCAGATATTGGATTTAAAAGTGTATTTTCCTTTGTTATGTATATTTGAAAAAGGCTATTTACACATTCACCAATGAATTAAGAAGTCGACTATTACAATTTGTCACTGGAACATCACGTGTACCAATGAATGGTTTCGCTGAACTATGGGGTTCAAGTGGACCGCAAAAATTCACTGTTGAATGTTGGGGCTCTGTAGATCAACTGCCTCGTGCGCATACATGGTATGTTTAACTTGTTGTTTTTGCTTACTTTTTCATTTTGGAGAGAGAGGGAGCAAGGGGCGTAAAAAAAATAGATAAAAATGTTTACTTAATTAATTTTTGTAACGATAGAATACAAGAGTGGTTAGTAATAGAATGTTTATTATACATAAAGCAATAAGAAGATGTAATTTGTCTGAATCGTGTTGTGATGTATTTGCGGAACACATTTCGAACAATCTGATCACACACGGACTTGTCATAGGAATATGTGTATATGAAATTAATATAAAGTTAAAAGGTGAGAAAATAGACTTAGGTCAACCTAATAGGACATATTGAATGTCAAAATTACAATGAAGACCACTAAACCAAATAGCAGAGGTAATAGTACATCTGCCCTGGTTAGTATCAAAACAAAATTTACCAAGGAAGATTTAATGTGATGACGAATTGTTTTTGAACACATAAAGGTGGCTTAAACTTTCTAGTTGCCAGCTACGGCTTCCACAAACTTTAGGATACGCCCTCCCCAAAACACGTTTTATAGATAGATTTAAAAGATCTGTTAACGTCAATTTTATGTCCTGTCTCTATAATATGTTTCGCCATAGAGGAGCTAGGTCGTGTGTTCTCACCAATAATGGGTTATAGAGATTCTTTTTGCTTCTGAAGCCATTTAGGAATATGCTCTGAAGCTAGTCCCTACTTTCAGAGGTCGATAAGTCCGCTCTATGTATATGTAGCCACACGTATATTCAAATTGGTAAATACAGTGGGATGTGACATAATTAGATAGATATGTTGGCTTTGCATTCTCTATTATTATGATATTAGCTGCATAAAAAGTCTTTTTAACAGCAGCGTTCAGTCTTTGTCTAGTTATCAAGCTGCTATGATGCCCCATATAGGGTAGCTTGATGTACACGTCTTTCTTAGGGGCGAGTTGGAGAGTGGGTCTTGGTGTTCTGACTACTTTATATCTCCTGATGGACTTGTCTGGATAATTGTTATCAACCAGAGTTTGTGTCAACTTTCTTTCTTGTTCATCAAGTGTGTCTTCGTCTGCATATTCGTTGGATTCTACTGAAGAGGCATCTTTCTAAGGCTCACCTTATTATATCACCTAACACACACGGGAGATAGCACTCAGACATCTGTGAGTTAAAACAGCTAGCCAGCCTTTTCGTATGTTCCACCTTCAATGATCATTTCTCACAGCCATAAAGGAGGACGGAGAGAAGTGCTGCTGAGCAGCACACACGCCCTTTGGTCGACAGCCACACCTGGATGTCACGTCTACAAAGTCAAAGATGGCGTAATCTGGCAAATGCCACATAAACTTTTTGTATCCGTGTTGAGATTTCGTCAGCGATCAACCCGCTAGTGTTGGCTGATGCAACTTCCCCCCAAATAAGTGAAGTGGTCAACACGCTGTACCACTTCACTCCTGTCTACCTTTAAGCTACAAGTCGGTGTAGTCCAATCCTCTTGTATTTTGCATTTGACAAAATCGAATCGCATATCAAACATTTGAAGTTTTCTGCCCCACCAGGTGTTCAAAAGATTCTTCATTTTGTCAGTGTCTTCACCCAGATGGGAGGACAATATCATCTGCATATTCTAAGTCAACAAAATTGTTTCCTGGTTGTGGTAACAAGTCAATTCCTGATCCGTTGAAGTCAGTTAAAGTTAAGTCCATCATTACACCTATTGTAACAACAGAAGACAAGGGCCAGGCAACAGATCGTTTATTAATGAAATCAACACATATTTATAGATTTTCATGTACATTATTATAGATTATTGTAAGCAAACAAATACAGTCTTCTGATTGATGGTTTCTCACTGAAAGTTAATCTTTCATCTCTTTGTGGCTGTTTTTTGAGGGTGGGATCCTTTATCTGCTAATTGTATCCACCTATGCAAAGTCTGCTGTGATTGGCTGTTGAGTTAGTCTTTGTTCTTATTTTTCTCACGACCAATATTAGGGACGTAAACGTTGACGTAAATTACTGTCTACCAATTTGGCCAGTAGCCAGTTCTCACCACACTATGATGAAAATAAATAGAAAATGGGATAGTGGGCATCCCTGATGGACACCACTTCATATGACAACTCTCCTTAGGGTTATAGAGTTCCTTGATTAGTGCGATGTATTTTTGTCGGGTTTCTAACCTCCATGTTCACCATCAACGGGAGGGATTTGAAAGAGGTTACTTCATTCACTTATCTAGGGAGCATTGTCTCAACCACAGGAGGAACGGACGAGGATGTCAAATCGAGAATCGGGAAGGCGAGAAACACATTCATCAACCTGAAACCAATCTGGAAATCTTCGTCACTCAGCCTGCATCAACAACAAAATTCAGATTTTCAATACAAACGTCAAGTCAGTTTTGCTATACGGATCAGAAACTTGGCGGGTGACAAAGAATATTTCCAACAGCTTGTTGCAGATCTTTACCAACAACTGTCTTCGCTGGGTCTATACTGAAGATCAGATGGCCGCCGGAAAGAATCACAAACAAGAAGCTATGGGAACAAACAAAACAAGAACCAATCGTTCAACAAATATGCATGAGAAAGTGGAGATGGATTGGACACTCGCCGAGGAGGCCGTTGGGTGACATCACGCGTCAGCCCTTAGCTCGAGTGGAACCCGAAAGGGAAGCGGCGAGTGGGACGTCCAAGGGTGACATGGAGGGGATCGTGTGAAATGGAGTTGAAACAGTATGGACTGACATGGATGCCGGTGAAAAGCACGGCAGAAGACAGAAGCAAGTGGCGACGTGCAGTTGAAGCCCTATGTTCCACTAGGAACCCAAGGGAACAATAATATAATAATAATCTAACCTCAATGTCCAACCTCCTCTCTTTTTCAGCATTAGTCAACTGGATTGTTAGCGATTGTATTCCAACGTTTTGTTTTGTCCAGACCTGTGTTTCATACTTCTACCCCGCCTCCCACACTTTTTTTTGTTTTTTCCTCTTCTAGTTTCAATCGTTTGGATCTACCGCCTTATACAACTTTTGAAGAACTCCGCTGTAAACTCATCATTGCTATAGAGAATGCCGAAGGATTTGAAGGTGTCGATTGATTGATAATGGATGACAATGATTTTTCCTAATTATTCATATTGAATTAAATTATACTTACTTACCCATCAGGCATACACATTTGACATTAACACATACACACAAATATATATAAATATATATATATATACATATATATACATGCATTCATTCACAACGAGAACAGACAGGGAAAATATATATATACAACGTTTTAATTATCCTTACACATCTTCTCTATTGTGATGTAGAAATTGTCTGTGTGAAACAGACGATAATTGTACCAGGACTTCTTGCAAATTATGCCATATATATATATAGAGAGAGACAGAGCTTCACAGTTTCCTTGAACATTTAATGAATACAATCGTCTCTCTCTCAGTTTTCTGTTGTTGCCACTGTTGTTGTGATGTAAGCAGTTTGTGGTTGTGGGGCACGAATGAATGCTGATTTCCTATTTATTCTATATTTATTTTACATAATGATATTTTTTTGTAGGTATTACAAGATTCTGTGTAACATATATTATTCACAATCATTTATTACCATTACTGTAACTGTTATTATTACTATTACTATCACTATATATACAGATATACATCTTTGTGGGGTTGGCTATACAGAAGTGCGTGTTTGTGTCAGAACTTCTGATGAATTTGTATTTGTACGTGTCTGTGTGTGTGTGTGTGTCGTTTCATTTCCCGTATCTCTCTTACTTCAAACATTGTGTGAATAAGGTGCCTCAGTTCTGTTTAATTTTTGGGGGAAGAAATCAAAACGTACATCAATAATTTTATTTATTTGTAGACGCTACTACTAATACTATATTCCCACTTAAATGTGTCGCGAATGCACACAGACACACATACACACTCCCTCTCAGGCTGGCATCAAGCCACATACTTCTAACATAAACGATCAGAAAATGTAAAACGTTATTTTAGGATTTTTTTGTTGTTAATTCGTTTATATTTTGTCATCACTGTGAGGTTATATATGCACATATTTCACATAACCTGAACTTTGTGTGTGTGTGCGTGGGTGTAAACTATTTTAACCAATCAGAGATAGTCGTGCTGTGTCTCCTTTTATTTTGTTTCGTCGATTTGTTTAAATTACACCATATTTTGAAAAGGCGGGAAATATAAACGAAGCTGTCTGCCATAATAACAATGATGGCAGTAGTAGTAGTGCTAGTGCTAGTTTGTTAATTGTATTTATTTGTGTATATTTTTTTGCTTTATTTTCGTGAAAAGACATTCAATACACTTATTATCTTATTAATTATTAGTTAGAAACCAAAACAAACCATTTTCCCCGTGAACACTTGCTCATTTGGCGCACAGTTTATCTTTCTCCTCTATGTGTGTTGTTGATTTAGTGTTGTTGTCTTCTGTCGATCAAACACGCAGATACTGTCTCTCTTCCGCTCTTCTCATTTAAGTGCGGATTCGTGGGTGTGTGTGTAATTGTCCCTTCATCTTTCTGTTAAACATATTATTTATATTCTACTATTGTATATGCTTTTATTAGGAGGGTAAAGGGTAAATGGCTTAATTTTTTTAAAAATTATCTTGCATACTCGATTGATTTGAATTTATCATCTCGCTTATTATTATTAATTATTATTATTTATTGGTGTGAGTACATTACAAAATCTCACCAATTTTATGAAATACAAGACATAAATTACAATACACAATTAAATTGTGTACCTCTCTAATCTCCCCGAACAGCCTCGTTCATCTTTTTTGTTTTTTTCGTTGTTTATTTGGTTTATTTTGCATTTTGATTTCTTTTTTTTTTGTGTGTAGACATATATTGGCGAGAAGAAAAGTGGATAATAAGAATAATAATTTAATGATTATCCGTTTGTTTATTTATTTGCTTGCCTGACAGTTACTAGGTGGAATTAGAGGCAATCGACAACAGTAAGACAACTGCTTCACTAAGTGTTCGTGCTTGTTGGTACTCGCTCACCAGTCACAGTGAGGCAGGTGAATCAGCAATCTTGTCGGAACTCATGTCCACTATCTGAGATTCGAACCCATATGTATCATCCAGTGCTGCCTGTAGTCAGAGATGACGTTAACATTGAGCTATTCGGCCCCTGGCGATTGACCTCCTGTAAAACTGTATTCGATACTTCGGTTGGACACTGACTAATTTCAACGTAGAACTTTGCACAGATGTGCACCAGTTCAAGTTGCCACTCTCCCTCTCCATGTAGCACACAAAGCAAGAAAAGAGAGATCATAAACAGAAGTGTGAGTGAGGCAAAAAGAATACTAATATGGAAGAAAAACAACAGAGTTTTATTGGATATGATAAATCGCAAAGAGTGAATGCACCAGCCATTGACAAGGACAATTTTGAGCCATTTCACCAATTGTCTCTAGCCATTGCCCATGGAAGAAGGTGGTAGCTAGGTATGCGCAACACATGTCCCAACCATCGCCTCAATCGATGTAACTGATTGGATACGGACTTGTGTCAAAGAATGAGGTACTTATGGAAATCGTTTTCCAGTGATCTAAGATGGATGTGTATGTGTGTCTACAACTTTAGCGCCAATTTTATATATTCACTGGAAAATGGAGTATTGCCGTTTAAAGTTGAATGGGTAGATCTGTTTAGGTAGTTAATTAACTTTAACGTAGAAGGACTGGCAAAGTTAAACTTTAAGCACCACTAACTACCAATCAGCGAACGACCTTCAACGGACCAATCACATGAAAAGGGGACTTTTGATTAAGGAAAACGTATATTTATGGAAAAAAGCATAAAAACTGCACAAAACTTCTACATAGGGCATCTTTCTCTAACATTTGACAGAAACTTCTCCCAGTTTAGCATAGGATAGTCAATAGAAAAGTTACACCACATTTTGTACATATATTCATCCAAATGACTATAAATGAGATCCATTTATAGCCCTAATCCTATTTTTTAATCTTCCCCAATATCCTTCTATAGAATTCGTGTGTGTCTCTGTAACTGGACCACAAAATCCCTAGAATGGTTCACTCTGTGATGAATATATCCAAGAGATGACAGCGAGTTATAACCTTTCCATTCATCAGTATGAACAAAGAATCCCTGTTTCACAAGACGAGTGACCATAGGTTCTAAGGTTCTATTCTCTTCATGAATCCTTTCCGCAGGAAGGTGTCATATAAACCGATCGCCCAAACATTGTTGACTCGCTTACGACCACGGCTGTATTTTTTCTTCAATAGGACAGTTTCGTCCACGTGTACGACGATACCTTCTCCGCCTAACAACGAAGTAATTTGCTCCATTTTCCATAAGGAAGTGTCTCTCCTTCCCAAGCAACCGCGAATCCAGGCAATACTGCAAAACCTTATCCTCACCTAACTGCAAGTGTAACTTCGTTTGATACAAGTCAAGCGCTATATATGTTAGGTTAACCTAACCCTAACTTGTCCTTGGCTTAAAGGGTAACTTAATCTTTCGCAAACCAAAGCTGAAACTCGCCAGATATCCCATTTAGTAACTTAACACTTCGATGAGCATTTTATATTGATGGTGACAACATTATTTGCCGGATTTCCCCAACTTGCTCAGTGAGCTCTTCAAGGTCATTGGTGAGGTGGCACTCCATCGATAGTTAGTGGTGCTTAAAGTTTAACTTGGCCGAAAGACTTTCTCACTGTGTAGTGACGGAACAGACCCATTTTAGTCTGAACTCAGTGAACCAATCTCTCTGTGTCGTACCGTAAGCTACCCAAAACGTCATTGAGGAATGCATTAGTCAATAAAATCACTCCAAAGGCAGCAGAGAGACGACTGTTTATATAATTGGATTCTATGTGTGGTTCTATGCATCAACAGTTAGATCAAAAAATTGGAAACTATCCCAATACTGCCTAACGTCAGTGTAGAATTATTTCTGTCGCCTTACATTCCATATGCATATTAAGGAATAATATGGGTGACAAAAACTCCCGAATCAGATGCTGTTCGGATGCTTAAAGATGAAAGCTGAGGAAATTAAGAGTTTATTTTATTATCCAGAATTAATTTGTAAGCATTCTATTTGCTTCAAGTTAGACGACGGATTGAAATCAGTTGGAGAACCATTGGAAACCAGGAAGTACCGGGTACGACCCCACAACTTTCTGGTTACAAGACAAGCTCGTATACCACTGGGACCCGATTCAATGGCCCATGAATTGTATTTTCAAGAGTTAATATTTAGGCTTTTGATTTACTCCATATTTGACCATGGATTGATATCTAACTAACTCGTGAAAATTAATCCGATGCTCACTAGTGACTAGTGCTTGCAGTTCTAGTGCGAATCCACCATGTCGGGCGTGAGGAAAAATACTCCTTTATGATATTGACTGGTTCCAGTGTAACAACAGGAGACAAGGGTTAGGCAACACATCGTTTATTAAGGAAATCAACACATATATTTATTTGGAACATAAACATTGACGTAAATTAATGTCTACCGATTTGGCTAGCAGACAGCTCTCACTACACCAGTCGCGCTAAATTCACGAAATGGCAGAACTAAAAATTCATGAACTGTCCATTGACTCGAGTCCCAGTGGTTGCTTGAATAGTGTACAAGCTTAGCTTGTAACCTGAATGTCCTGGAGTCGAAACCCAGTAGGTCCCAAATTAGGACAAAGCAGATGTCCAGTACTGCCTATCTGATTTCCAATGGTTCTTAAACTAATATCAATCCAAGGCAGCCAGTAGGATTTCTTCATCACCTAAAGAAATAGAGATAACCATATTAGCTAATCTTTTTCATTACTTGGATCTATGTGGGTCTTACGAATTATTAAAGAGACAGTTTTAGCGAATTCATCAACTGGTCTGTATACTCATGTATTTAAAGCAGATGGATGAGAAAGTCCCAGGACTATTTCCAGTCAATGGGCAAATCAATAAAATTGCAAAGCGTAATAAACAGGAAGATCGGATAAAAACATATTAGGATCATAATTATTGTGAAAATTGATTTTTTTTTTGTAGCAATTAGGGGTTAAAAAACCAAAGAAAACGTCTAAGAAAAGTTCAAGTTGTCCCCCAAAAGATGCTTATACTTAATCTCGAAATTTAAAGAGATACTGAAGCAGAAATTCCCCGTAAACTGCTTTCGAAATCTCCTTGGCGCTAGTCTACGTGTGACATTATCTTGCCAACGCATGAAAGACAACCTGTCGCATTAGGTCACTTCGACATGTATATACAAGTTCACCTGCTCGTGTTGAGCTGAGTACATCGGCCGTACCATGCGTTCAATCATAAAACATGTGCAACAGAACTATCATTAATGCAATTATTCCGTATACTTGAACTAGGAACTGGTACATACCAGGGCTTCGGCATCACTTCATCTATGTACTGTAAACTAAAAACCTCACCTAGTTTACTTAGCTCACTAATCTTCTAGCCGGTCCTAAGCCCGGAAAAAAAGGGAGCGTTTAGCATGTGGCTAGTGACCTAACTCTAAAAAATCAATCTAATAGCTACAGAAACTTCAAAGTTCATGAAAAACTTCAAAAAAGCTTGTTTTCCCGGGAAATGGAGAGACTTAATGACGCTGACTAGTGAAAGCCTTTGAGAAGTTATTTCTCAGCGGAGGCCAAAGTAAACATTAGTGCTTGGAGTGTTCGTACAATGTACTGGGCTTCCAAGGTGACCAAAGAGTTGAAGAGATATGAAATGGAAGTTCTAAGAATCTGCTACAGCAGGTGAAATGGATATGGACTATCCACATTGTTAACAGGAAAGTCCGTAATCCACTCTAGTCACCCAGACAACAACCACGAACACACTGAGGGAGTGAGTGGCTATCATGATATCACTAACAACAGTAGTGGGAACCAATCACCTCCAGGATTATGACAGTAGGATTCAACTCAAAAGGTAGAAAGGTTACAATTATCATGCAACACTACGCGTCTACAAACAACTCAGAACAAGAGAAGAAGGAAGATTGTTTCAGACGACTGCAAACAGAAGTGGATAATATCTCAAATGGTGACATCAAAATCCTAAAGAGCGATATGGATGCTAAACTGGGAGTAGACAAATCAGGAAGATAATTTATCAAGGGTCGAGAGGGTCTCGGCAAAATGAATGGTAACGGAGAACTCTTCACAGAGCGACCATAATTTCAACCATAACGTTAAATACAGTACGTCTTGATTCCACTATTTACTAGTGTTTATCTAACAACCAACATCTGACTGTGATTTCAGTAAACGAATAAAGCAAATTATTTATAATAATAAGGCATATATCTAAATTTCATGCTGGTTAGTACACGTCAACAACCTGGGAGGATATTATGCTCCCCAAGAGATTCGTACCCCCGCTACCCAGTGTTTCAGTTATATATAACTATCAGTTGTCCAATGAGAACAAGACACATAACGCGGATTACCACATAGCGGACAGTCGAGTGTTGGTTTGCAGGGATGTGATTGGTTTCAGGATTTCATCATGAGGTCACATTGGTTAGAGAACCATTGGAAAGAAAACCGGAGACTTTAACTGTACAGCCATTTCCTCCTAGTTTGGAACTCTTCATCAGTGGGGTACAGTACGTTGAGTGTGAGGACAAATACTCTCCAGTGATGCTATTCGCTAGTGGTCACGCCATATCTTGAAATGGCAGAAGTTGGAATTCATGATGGACTGGCCATTGGATCGAGTCTCAGTGACTTTTAATGGTCTACGAGCTCGCCTTGTAAGTGGAAGGTGGTTCTAGGTTTGAACCCCCTGTGATGGGTGCGTACTGATAAAGAGTCCCAAA